TGAATGCATTATGGGTCAGCGCGCCTTGTCTGCGCGCCTTCCCAGAGATCCCCGCCCCCATCTTCTCTGTCCATTTTTCTCCTGTCACCACACATGTCGCCACCATTTTTGGGAAAATTTGATTCGTGCATCCGAAGTCTGCTAATCTTCGGATTCGTCGCGAATCGAATTTTTCCAAATCTTCGAAACGAATTCCACTTTGTCATGTTCGATTCGCTCATCTCTAGTCATTACATTCTCTCAGGAATACAGATGCCTTCTCTCCTTTCGTAGATGAACCCAGCAACAATCATGCTTTGGCGGATACCTTTGTCCCATAGAGTGAAGAATGGATTTGAAAATCCACAGGTGCACCCCTTCATCCTCTTTCTCAGACCAAATGATAAGAGTCCAAATTACTTTATTGGTTTGCCCTAAAAAAAAGCCAATGGTTTTAGGGGTCCAGGGAACATTCCCCTTCATCAGGGCTTCAGTTAAAATAAGAAAATGGAAGAGACTCAAAATACGGATTTCCTAAATAAAAAATAAGTTAATTGGACTAAGACAATCACTATCATTAAGATCTGCATCAGCAATCAAGACAAAGACTTATTTACAGACTTATGCTCAGAAAGACATTATTCCAGTTATGACTATCATATGAATATATTCCTTTGTTTGGACAGGAGAAGTATTTTGCTTTAAAAGGTATCATTTGTTATCAACTGATAAAACAGTTGTTTACCTCTTCTTCAATGCACACATATAATGGAGAGAAGCTATTGAAATAAGCTATTAACAGAAAATGTGATCATTTGCACAATATAATACCTTGGCATCTTGGGGTGTGGCCCTTCACCCATCAGCCCTTACTTGTGGTGGGTGTGGCATCATTAAAGAGAAGAGGAAAGTAGGGGATGCAATCACAAGCACTCGATTGTTTAAAGTGTTACTAAACCCAGCACCTTGCATTCACTATATCTGGTCATCCACAGTACACACAACATGGAAATGCAATTATTTTAGTAAATATATACCTTTTCTCACCAGCAGTATATAGCAGGCTGCTGACTTCTATAGTGTCTGACTGAGCATTAGCTAAAGCTTGTAGGAGGAGTTTTCATTCTCCTCTGACTGTCCTATGAGACTGCATGACCCCTGACCCTCTGATTCGCCCTGTGCTGACCACATGCGCCCTCCCCAAAAAATAAAAAACTCTGTAGCAATACACACTACATAATCAGTGTCTGACCAGGCACTGGTTAAAGCTTAATACATGTTCAAGTTTTGGGCAGCTCTCAATATTCTGAACACGGTTTGCTGTTGGAATTGGGCCTACAGGTGCTTATCCTTTCACAACGGGGGTCCATCCTTGCTTCTTTCAAGTTAACATATATCCTGGTTTACGCCATTTCCTTGAGAATTCGCATTGCGCATTTTGACCCGTTCGTAATTGGGGGTCAACTTCTTCTGGTAAGAGGCAGAGTTTTTTTGGTGTTGGTGATGGTGGATCCCCAATATTTCCTTGACCAGATTGAAGCATATATTATTATTATTATTATACAGGATTTATATTGCGCCAACAGTTTACGCAGCGCTTTAAAAAAATGAAGGTAGACAGTACAGTTAAAATACAATTTGATACAAGAGGAAACAGAGGGCCTGGCTCGTTAGAAATTACAATCTAGGAGATGACGTTACAGATGTCCCTATGAAGAGGGGCTTATTACATTCTCATTATATACTAATTGGACTTTTATTTTCATATGATATAGATATCTTGAGCACCGTACTCTTATGTCATTTACTGGTTAAAGCTTGTAGGAGGAGTTTTCATTTTCTTCTAACTGTTCTATGAGGCTGCATGACCCTAGCCCTCTGTCTGGACAGCACTGATTGGCTCTGTGCCAATCACATGCACCCTCCCGAAGAAAAAAAAAAGAACTCTCTAGCAATACACACTAAACTGAGCTTGTGCAGAGTGTCTCCTAGGGCTCTGTACTATCAGCAGAAGGATTGGGGACAGTAGAAGGGGAGGATCAGAGAAGACAAGATCAAACAGCCTTTTTCACACAATGCAGAGGATTAGGTTCCACAGTGAGTATAAGAAGCATGCTTTACTGCATATACAGACTGATTTTACTGTTGTGGGTTCAGTAACACTTAAATTAAACTATTTTGAGAATGACATAAAACAAAATCCAGTTAATATATTACCCTACATAATTATGCAAAGAACAAATTCAAGACTGGTAAGACTTTGAATGTCTGATCAGACGCAAGCAATGACCGCACTTCCATACTTTGTTAACCTATCATCAGTTGAACTCAAATGCTGTCACATACCATAACTGCTTGTCAATCACAAACCTCAAAGGATCACACCTTTCACTGTCTCTCCTACCTTTAGCCTAGGGGCTTCTATCACTTTACAGAGCATTATCCACACACTATACCCAATGTCACAACACATAACAGGATATCAAAGCTGCATGTGTTTTTTTTTACACTCAATAACTCTTGTTAGACTTTCTGGCCATCTGCCTGTGAGCTATCCAAATCTTTGACGTTTGGGTTGCCATGTTTACTTTATATGAACTTTTCCATCTTTTGTCTTTATCGACAATCTTCCCTACTTCCTCAACAACTGTTTATTTAACCTGATGTTCCTTACTTTGTTATTTCATCTTCAGGGTATTTCCTTTAAGACTATAATGAATGTCTTTATTATCCAAATTCTTAAGCTATGAAAATGTCATTGTAATCATTAAGAATACAGTTTTTTATATAGTGGATACATTTTTATTTGCAGTGGTTACTGATCGAAGTCTTGACATATCTTCTTGTGTCTAATATTATTTTAAGCTATTATTTTTAGAATCACCTTATTTGAGTTGGTATAAGAAGGATTACCTGAAAGGAATGTCTTATATAATTTAGACTTACTTGTTGTGATATACTTATGATCATATTTCATTTGCAAGATTGTGCCTCCTCTGCCACAGGGGTCTTCAAACATTTCAGTATCACATCATATATTCATCGGTAAAAAAAAAATCAGTTTTATATATGAAAAAAATATATATAAGCTACAAAATCAGCCTATATCCCCACACTTTGAATAATTATTTATTTATTTCAGGTACTTATATAGTGCCGTCAATTTGCGCAGCACTTAACATATATATTGTACATTCATATAAGTCCCTAACCCTCAAGGGGCGTACAATCTAAGGTCCCTAACTTACATTTATTTATTTCAGGTACTTATATAGCGCCGTCAATTTACGCAGCGCTTTACATATATATTGTACATTCACATCAGTCCCTAACCCTCAAGGGGTGTACAATCTAAGGTCCCAAACTCACATTCATACATACACATACTAGGGACAATTTAGACAGGATCCAATTAACCTACCAGCATGTCTTTGGAGTGTGGGAGGACACCAGAGTACCTGGAGGAAACCCACGCAGGCACAGGGAGAACATGCAAACTCCAGGCAGGTGATGCCATGGCTGAATTCGAACCAACGACCCTAGTGCTGCCAGGCGGAAGTGCTAACCATTTAGCCACTGTGCTGCCCGTGGAGTGAAATCCTGACAAAATATAACAGAGCTGCCGTTTTAAAAAAATATTATAAATGGGAGTGTTCATATGATCAGTACAGGACCAATCAGCACTGTCAAGACAGAGGCCAGGGGTTCTGCATCCTCAAAGAGCACAATGAAAACTCCCCACCTACAAGCTTTAACATGTGCTCTGCTGAACAGTGATAGAAGCCACAAGACTTCTCTAACTGCTGATGAGAGAAGGTATTTAGCAGTTTATATTTACTGAAATAATTACACTTCCATGTTCTGTGTACTGTGAGAGACCAGATATAATGAATGCAGGGTCTTGGGTTTAGTAACAATTTAAGCACACATTTTTCATTTGTGTTCATAACATAGAGGCCAATGACAAAGTATATGGTGGCGAAAGACAATCAGAGCTCCACATTTAACATTACTAGCCTCTCACTGCAAAAGGTACTCTTAAAGCAAGTGTTTTAAATACAGAGAACCAGCATATCATGTAGTAGAGAAGTGGTCTCTAAACTATGGCCAACTGGCCAAGTTCAACCTGCTGCAAAATTTTACTTGGCCCTCTGTAAGGGGACTCCAAATGGGGACTTTGATGGTTACTATAATGGGGGACTTGGGGATGGTTTGGTTACTATAATGTAAGGGGACTCCAATGGGGACTTTGATGGTTACTCTAATGTAAGGGAACTCCAATGGGGACTTTGATGGGCTCAAGTTTATTTGCTTTGTTTTATGAAGGTTTTTTTTTTTCTGTTGTTGTAAATCATATTCCAAATCAAGTTTAATTAATTCAAATTTGATTTGTCCATATATAAAACTGAACAAATATATGAGTAATTAAAACATCCTCATAACAGCTCCTTCCGACCGCATCATCATCAAGATTTAACAACTTCAAGTCTGGACACTTTCACCCCCTTCCTGCCCAGGCCAATTTTCAGCTTTCATCACTATCACACTTTGAATGACAATTGCGCGATCATGCAACACTGTACCCATATGAATTTTTTTTTGCGTTTTTTTGAGACAGATAAAACTTTATTTTGGTGGTATTTATTCACCACTGGGATTTTTATTTTTTTTGCTATATAAATGACAAAGTCCAAACATTTTGAAAAAAAGTGTTTTTCTTACAAAATTTTGCAAATAAATAATCTTTCTTCATAAATCTTGGCCAAAATGTATTCAGCTATCTTTTTAGTAAAAACAAAATAACCCAAATTAGTTTATAACCAAAAATTATAATTTTTCAAAAATGTTTTTGCCAATTTTACTTTATATTCTTATATTATTATTTATGTTTTTTTTGTAACATACTGTCACCCTAGCAGTACAGTGTCACCATAGTGACACTGTACTACTTGTGGGGGGTAATGACGATTTTTTTTTTTTCACACTGATTGCTTTTACACCCAGGGGCGGACTGACAACTCATGGGGCCCCTGGGCAATAGGGGATCATGGGGCCCCTGTGTCCTTGCCCAAACTCTAAAAAGCCTATGAAAAAGATACCAGGGGCATCTCATGGGGCCCCCTACTGACCTCGGGCCCTGGGGCAAAGCCCGAGTTTCCAAATGGTCAGTCTGCCCCTGGTGTGAGCTGTGATTGGTCACAGCTTGTCACATGGTACAAGGCTGTTGTGAATAGCCTTGTACCATGTGACCTCTGTGATCATTCACAGTTTTCACTAGTAGTAAGCAATGATGTCAGAAGATGTCACACAGAGGTCCTGTACAGCAATCGGTGTTACACTGTGTCCTCTGGACACAGCGGGCACCGAATTGCGGTGCCACGTGCTCCCAGGGAGTGCGCACAGACAGGGGGAGGGGAGGAAGTTTATAAACATTCATTTGTATGGACTCCCGTGCCCTGGGACACGCAAGGAAGAAGTTCCTGCATTTCTTCTGAAAACGCAGCCCGCAAGGGAACCTCGGTTCCCCGTACGGTTGCGATTTCCAGTGCAGGCGGCGTACCATTAGAATTAATGACACCCACCCGCACGTCCTCATTCTTCTGTACGGGTGGTGCTGCTGCATTGATTTTTGTGCGGGTCCACAGCGGCACCACCCGCACAGATGTGAACCTAGCCTAACAGAAGATTTCCTCTCTTTTCCTTTTCTGGTGACATCCCAAAATTTGGGATATTCTTGCACAGTTAATGGTAAAAAGGACAAATACAGAGGGTGCCTCTCCCTAACGGTGGTACAGACAAAAATAAAACCCTGACAAGTTATAATCCCTCTCCAACTCTATCCAAAACAAAAAAAGTTTGGTTTTTAGTTATACTTTAATGTTTTTGACTTTAGATGTGTTTTTTATGGATGAGTTACATTGTAACTTGTTAAATATCAACAGAGAATGTTTAATTGTTAAGTAAACAAAGAAAAGGGGAAATGTAAGACATATTTAACTAAGCATTATTTGCACGCAAAAAAGGCAACAGAACCCAAATGCAACTTCAGAACAAAAACAATTCACTATGTGGGGAAAAATACTATGTACAGAGTCCTCCTGTGCACCTAGTATTCGGATAGGACAGTGAAAGAGCAGCAGAAGACTGATGAGGTCTGCTTACTATGCTCTCTCCTCCTATCAGCTCGATCCTTGTCAGTATTCATGCATGCAACTCATCTGATTTGCTACCATTACTGCCCCTCCCTCTCGAGTCTGAATCCTAGTTATAGGGAATAATATAAGACTGAAATGAAATTCAGGTACTTACACTAGTTGCTTATAATAATATATCTGCAAATACAAATACATTTGAATACTGAGCTGAATTCATTTGTGTTCCCATACAGTTGCAAGAAAAAGTATGTGAACCCCTTGGGATTACGTGGAGTTTTGCATGAATTGGGCATAAAATGTGCTCTGAACGTCATCTAAGTCACAACAATAGAAGAACATAATACTACACAAACATTAGATGTTGCCATGGTTTAATTGCACATAACATGTAAACATTCACAGTGCAGGGAGGAAAAAGTATGTGAACCTTTGGACTTAATAACTGGTTGACCCTCCTTTGGCAGCAATAACCTCAACCAAACGTTTCCTGTAGTTGCAGATCAGACCTGCACAACGATCTGGAGTAATTTTGGACCACTCCTCTCCTTTTTAAGGGCAGGACAGCTGTCAGCAACACATCCAATATCATCACACTGATTGGAGTCAAGGTTGGCTCACTCCTGGCTCCAATTAGCTCTGGGAGAAGTCATTAAGCTAGGGCCTCACATACTTTTTCCTCCCCGCACTGTGAATGTTTACATGTTATGTGCAATTAAACCATGGCAACATCTAATTTTTGTGTAGCATTATGTTCAGCAGACTGTGTTCTTCTATTGTTGTGACTTAGATGACGTTCAGAGCACATTTTATGCCCAATACATGCAAAACTCCACGTAATCCCTAGGGGTTCACATACTTTTTCTTGCAACTGTATTCCTGATATGTGCCTGCTGTAATATGTACTTGTATGAAAAAGCATGATGTTCTCTTTGTATTAGTCCTCATGCACACTGGATGTTTTTACAGGGGCTGTTTTTGGCTTTTGATGTTTTTTTTCTACAGCCAGTAAACCCCCCCAGCATGTTATCCTATGTGTCCATACACACACAGATTGCAATCAACCTTTTTTGGCAGGGATGTTTTTTGGCTGGAAAAAAAACCCAGGACTAGTGGGTTTCTAGAGAAGTTTTTTAGCTGTAAAAATGTTCTAACTTGGCAAAATGCGGTAAAATTCCGCAAACCGGCGTTTTTGGACTTTTTTTTACCAAAAAAACAATTTTTTTGGTGGAGACAAAAAAGCTAAAAAATGCAAATGCGGAAAAATGGCACTAAACATGGCAAAACGCGGTAAAATGATGCAAACCTGCATTTTTGGTACAAAAAAATAATTTTTGGGTGGAAAAAAAAGCTAAAAAATGCAAACGCGGAAAAAATCACTAAACGCGGCTAAATGCTAATGCAAAAACACTAAAAAAAGCTGAAAAACTCACATTTTTAACATGACTTTACCAGTGTTACCAGTGTTATCAAGACGCCCCGTGTGCATGGAGCCTTCCATGAGTGCACAGAGTGGTCAGATTTCTGCCTGTGCTGACAGCTAATCCAATGATCATGCCTTCCCATCTGCACAACCGTTTACTGGGAAATTCAGTGTACTGCTGCTTCTCCTCCTCCATCAAACTGAGTACCTTATGCAGCTGAGAACAGAGGGGATTTGATCTCTTTTTTAAAACAGAAATAATGGAAATAAAAAGGTAGTTATGTTCTTTTTATATCTATACACAAATGTTTAGCCTTTCATTTCTATTTTAAACTATATGGGTTGTTTTAGGTGAGGGTTTACATATACTTTAATATCTGCTCTGAGCCCGTCCTTTGAACAATAATGTTACTAATAGTTACTAATAGAATAGTTAAAATAACTATCCTATTAATTTTCTTTCTGTATGCACACATGCATGTGATTGTTTTTTTCAATACTACAGAATTTGATGTCATATTGTTACCTTTGTAATAAGTTGCTAATTTGGAATTTTCACACAGTGCAAAAAAGTGCAATTCTGTGGAAACCCACACTTGAAACTGTTACTCACAGGTAACAGTGCTTTTGCTGACATCAACAAAACATTTGCTAGGAAAAATGAAAAAGAAAAAAAAAAAAAAAAAAAAAAAATATATATATATATATATATATATATATATATATATATATACACACTGTTCAAAATAATTAAAGGAACACTTTGAAAACACATCAGATTTCAATGGGGAAAAATCTCATGCTGGATATCTATACTGATATGGACTGGATAATGTGTTAGGAACATAAGGATGCCCCATCATTTGATGGAAATGAAAATTATCCATCTACAGAGGACTGAATTCAAAGACACACCGAAAATCAAAGTGAAAACATAATGCAGCAGGCTAGTCCATTTTGTTGAAATTTTATTGCAGCAATTCAAAATGGTACTCAGTAGTTTGTATGGCCCCCATGTGCTTGTATGCATGCTTGACAACATCGGGGCATGCTCCTAATGAAAAGACAGATGGTGTCCTGGGGTATTTCCTCCCAGATCTGGACCAGGGCATCACTGAGCTCCTAGACAGTCTGAGGTGCAACCTGGCGTTGTCGGATGGACCGAAACATGATATCCCAGAGGTGTTCTATTGGATTTAGGTCAGGCGAGTGTGGGGGCCATTCAATGGTATCAATTCCTTTATCCTCCAGGAACTGCCTGCATACTCTCGCCACATGAGGCTGGGCATTGTGGTGCACCAGGAGGAACCCAGGACCCACTGCACCAGCATAGGGTCTGACAATGGGTCCAAAGATTTCATCCCGATACCTAATGGCAGTCAGGGTGCCATTGTCTAGCCTGTAGAGGTCTGTGAGTCCCTCCATGAATATGCCTCCCCAGACCATCACTGACCCACCACCAAAACGGTCATACTGAACGATGTTACAGGCAGCATAACGTCTCCAGACCCTTTCATGTCTGTCACATGTGCTCAAGGTGAATCTGATCTCATCTGTGAACTCTGGTGTTCAATGGCAATTGCCAATCAAGCTCTATGGTGCCGGCCAGTGAGCACAGGGCCCACTAGAGGATGTTAGGGCCCTCAGGCTACCCTCATGAAGTCTGTTTCTGATTGTTTGGTCAGAGACATTCACACCAGTGGCCTGCTGGAGGTCATTTTGTAGTCCTCTGGCAGTGCTCATCCTGTTCCTCCTTGCACAAAGCAGATACCGGTCCTGCTTATGGGTTAAGGACCTTCTATGGCCCTGTCCAGCTCTCCTAGAGCTACTTCCTGTCTCCTGGAATCTCCTCCGTGCTCTTGAGACTGTGCTGGGAGACACAGCAAACCTTCTGGCAATGTCATGTATTAATGTGCCATCCTGGAAGAGTTGGACTGCCTGTGCAACCTCTGTAGGGTCCAGGTATTGCCTCATGCTACCAGTAGTGACACTGACCCTAGAAAAATGCAATACTTGTGAAAAACAGTCAGAAACGATGAGTAGGGAAAAAAATGTCCGTGGCCTCCACCTGTAAAACGATTCCTGTTGTGGGGGTTGTCTCATTGTTGCCCATCTAGTGCACCTGTTGTTAATTTAATTAACACCAAAGCAACTGAAAATGATTAACAACCCCCTCTGCTACTTAACTGACCAGATCAATATCCCAGGAGTTTAATTGACTTGATGCTATACTCTGATTAAAAAGTGATCCTTTAATTTTTTTGGAGCAGAGTGTACTATATATATATATATATAAAACCATCTGATATCAGTGTAGATCAGAAACGTTTTAAGGTGTCCTTCCAACAACATTTATTAACATTCATTTATCTAAAAGAGGATGACTTGCATAAAGGGCTTGCCAGAACAACACACCTGTGTTTATTATAAGCAGCCAAGGAGAGATGTTCACACAATACACAATATTCCATACCTTTAGACATACAGATAATTATTTAGACATGCTTCCTTTTTTCATTTTTGGTTCACTGTTCAGAAGTGAAAAATATGCTTCACATTCATGTTTGAACAATTCAATATAGTAGACATGTCAAATATTGTCCCACATATGATCCTAATATATCTTCCTTTTGGCCCTAGAGCAAAGTAGACTGTATCTGTTTTATAAATATTTCCTTTCCCCATTTTGCCTTTATGATAGGTCAACTGTTCCTTGTTACAGTAATACACAAAGATCGTTTAGCATTTTCATTTGTAAAACATATATTTTTTAATTGCAGTGTATTTATGTTTTATACAAATGGACAATTTGGGAACTGAAAAGCAATGCTGTACTTTAACTTATGTCATTTGGCCATCTGTTTCACTTGAGTTTGACATTTCTGTTTTAAACTCTCTACAAAACCAACTCTCCTGTTTACTTTGTACATACAACTCTTTATCCAGCAAAATGTGATCCAGTATTCAGCAGTCCAAGATACATTTGAATCCAGTCATGACCAACTGCTAATGACTATAATAACTCTTGGTCAATGGAATACTGCAGCTATTGTGATGAGGTTTTTACTCACTGCAGTGTACACCATTGGAGTCTTCGAAGCCTACAGAGATCCCAGACACATATATATATGTTAAGTAGCTGCATGAGAAACATTTGTGTATTAATTATACACGAACAGTGCAGAATATATATATATATATATATATATATATATATATAAAAAAAGAAAATTACATATTTACTTATGATCAATCCACTTTCACTTCTGTACTATTGTGTATAGTGAAAAGTACAACAAGGTGTTATGATTGAATTCTGTGGAATTAGAGAAGAAAAATCACATCAGGATATTTTGACGCCGTGCTGCTTTTCCTCCCCACCGGGTATTGACACATTTTTGCCCACGGAGGTTTCAACAACTTATCAATGCTCATTACTGGTTTGCTGCCTATACATCACAAACAGTAGGTAGGCAAGACTAAGGACATCAACCAGAGTGAGAATGGTAGGACAGGAGGCTTCTAACTGGGAGCTTAATGACGAGGAAAAAGGCAATATCTCCAATGTTCTTTTTACGGCGTTAGCCAAGCTGTGCTTGGGCTGAGACAAAGATGAACGCCACCTCTAGATAAACTGATCCAAAATTGTTCAGCTGAATCAAACACTAAGTAATTTGTCTGTGGTGTGAATCAATAAATGGGAATCAATTCGATATCTTCTTAATAGTAGGTGAGATGAGACAAAAAAAACAAAGCCTTAAACAATTTGCTGTTCTTGTTTACAGAGACATCAACCAATTTGGCAGCAGGGATCCAGCCATTAAGCTCCGGGCAATGTTGATGCCAACAAGGAAAGTGTTAAAAAGGTTTGCTGTTGTGAAATTCAGAAAATAAAAAAGCAAAAACTAGTTGAATTTCTTGATGAGATCTGTGTGCTAAGAAAGTATTATTAGATAGATTTGATCTTTTTTTACATAATTTGAAAGTAGTAATGGATCATGGGATTGTGTGCAGGAGCACAGACGGTACAAAGGAAGAGGACAGTCAGACACAGATGGCAACGAGGGATGTACAGGCGTAGAGAGTGGCAGACAAATAATGGGATATATTGTTCACTCATCCTTCTTCCCATTTGGACCAATACATTGAATTAGTTTGCTGATGATTATTGTGGTAATGGCTGCTGTTCATATGGTCTAATAGCAAGACATTATTGCAGAGAAACCTCTTGAAAATTATTACTGACATATGGTACCCAGGAATATGTACATCATATGTTGGCAATACATGGGTAATTGATTGGGCCACCAGGGACACTCAAAACCTCATATGTTGACAAATGCATGCAAGGGTCTTAATCATCTCCTGTGACCCTGGGATCCATCATATTTGGCTTCATATGATCACACTTAGCTAACTGAGAATAAATTTCCAAAGATATAATCTCCACCAGATCCACCACTCACAGCCACTTTAAAACAAGGGAATAGATCTTGTCCTGTTGCTTTTTCCACACTCAGCACCAGTGGTGTCGCTACAGGGGGGCAACTGCACCGCCTAAGTTATTCTTTGCCCCCCCCCCTCCGTGTGCCCTCCTGCTAAATTAGGCAAAGCTGTCTAATCCAGTGGGCACCCCTGGGCACTGCCCAGGGGCCCCAGGTCCTCTTGGGACCCTATCAGGGCCAGCTTCGACCTAGGGGGATGTTGCTGGCACTGGGGCGCAAATACATTCTTCCACTGCACAAGGTCCAGACCCCTCAGCTGCTCCAACTCTGTTTTATCTCCCCTACCAATTGCAACAAATTAATCCCTTATGGACCCTTCTCCACTTCCATCAAATGGTTCTCCTTCCTGGTGAGTTACTTTCACCGGCCCACCCCCTGCTTCATTTCTTCTCCCTCCCTTCTTTCCAGGATGCAGTATGTCAGACACTTTCACACCGATCTGATCCTCCTCCAATCAGTCTGTATAGGCCGTAAAGCATGCTTGTTATACTCACTGTGGAACCTAAGGGGTTAATCCTCCGCATCGTGTAAAAAGACTGTTTGATCCAGTCTTCTCTGATTCTCACCTTCTACTGTCCAATATCCATCAGCTACAGAGCCCTAGGAGTCACTATGCACATGCTCAGTTTGGTGTGCATTGCTACAAAGTTTTTTTTTTTTGGGGGGGAGGGCGCATGTGGTCAGGACAGGGCCAATCAGAGGGTCAGGGGTCATGCAGTCTTATAGGACAGTCAGAGGAGAATGAAAATTCCTCCTTCAAGCTTTAGCTAATGCTCAGTCGGATACTAATAGAAGTCATAAGACTGCTATATACTGTTGATGGGAAACGGTAGTTAGCAGTTCATTTTTATTACAATAATTGCATTTCCATGTTGTGTGTACTGTGGGAGACCAGATATAGTGAATGCACAGTCCTGGG